TATATGATCTTGTGTGAGGCGACACATCCTCTTTGAAGGTAAGTGCAACGAGACACACATCGACGAGTGAGGGCGTTGATTGGGACGTGTGCATAGCGTGGTTGCGATTGTCGCATGTTCTACAACAGAAATGAGCCATCTCAACGATCCCTCTGGAAGTGCGTAAGGGCGTTGCAAGGGATGAACGGAAATGCCTGAGACAGAAGTCGGAGATCCGTCATGCAGTACGGGTGGGGAGTGCCGAGCGAATGGCTCCTCTCACAGTCCGCGGGAAGGTCCAGTATCGCTTTCAATCCAGAAATTCGAGATCGTATCGGTGGTGGTTGGCCTGAGCGACTGATTGCGGCTGTGACAACTGGAGGTCAGGCGGGGATTAGCGAGCGACTGATACAAAGAACGTAGGCTGTGATGCAACCGAGTTTGGAGATGATATGAAGCCCTCTTTGGCAGTGCAGACTTATGTATATGAAGTTGCAGAGGGCAGGCGTGAGCGCCGAGTGCGGCCTAGCGTGCTTTCTCCGCGTGCGTGTTTGCACTGCCTTCTGTTGCGTCTGGCACGGATGCGTAAGGTATATTTAGCAACCTCAAGTGGTGGCAATTCAATGGTGGATCTTGAGTATGCGAGCGATCATTAGGCGCCTGCAAGACCGTTTTGCGCGGGACTCGTCACTGGGATGTCATGTTTGACATTTGGTGTGTTTACGCAAGCTTCAAGAGGCGGCTGCACAACGGTCTCAGAGCCTTCGTAATCACGATTCGAGGTCGGCAAGTCAACAGCGACCTCGCGTCTCTGCCTCTACGGGGGTGCAGTACAGTTTCGAACAGAGTCGACGAGCGGGAAGCCTTAGAGGCGAAGTAGTGGAGAGATGTGCATGCCGTGGAGGCCTTGTCAAGACGAAGCTCTTGCAGGCCAGCTAGCCTCCCCACTAGGCTAAGAGCGGTAGAGCGTCTGTTCGCACCTTTTCACTGCCCGACTCTCGGTCATCGCTCCATGCTATAAGTCTTATCCAAATTAGACAGTGGACATCTGCGAATCGTCTTGACTTCGTACACTGTCCTTCCGAACTGCAAATCCACGTGAGGCTTACTTCTCTTCCATCAATGACATCCACTCTCGATCGTACAGCCTTTCAATGTCTTTATCAGGACCGAGGTTGCAGGCTAGGCGCACCAATTTCGATAAGGCGTAACAAGCAGCTAGTCGAGGTGTCAGTGACTTCCATTTCGAACACACGAGGCTTCCTTTTCCTTCCTGTGGGATAATTGTAAAGGTAAATAATTTCAACTCATTTATTGCTAATGTCGGTATGCTTTCGGGTATATGCGTGTGTTGGCGTACTGCCTTGGCTTGCGCTTTTGCTTAGTTACATGCGATACTGTCTTCTGTGCAGTTTGAATCACATTTCCCGACTTTGAGTTTCCGTGCCGTTGCCTGTCCACAGAGCACAGCAGCAGGACTGAAGCCTCCCTTGATTGGGTCAGTAACCAGACAGCTCCCGATCCACATCTCTTCACTCTGACTAACGCGCTGGACACAAACCTGCGAGCACCTCGGAAATCGTGGTTGTCGAAGTTGGGCCTGAGCTCAAATGAAATTTTGTCCATAAACCTCTGCTCACCACACACTCGAAGTACTTTCACAGGGCGCTGCAGGGCTCTTGGAAAGAGGCCGAGGAAAGTACAGTCACATTGAAAGATATCAAAGCTAGAGTATGGGAGTGAGCCCAAGACCTAGACATCGTTCAACTAAGCAGCGAAGTCAACCGTCATGATGCTAATTTGACCAGTCAAACTCTTCGTACACTGGATCTATACGAATGATCTGCCCAGGCTGTGGGAGTTCGACCAACTAACTGATCCGTACGAGCCCAATGGTCAGCCCTTTCAGTTGTTCGTTGCCTCGTACGTTTTCGGAGACCGATTCGTAGCCCTAGGCTTCCAGCGAGCTGTGCAGACAAAACTCCAGATGTACATATTGTTTCAAATCGGCTGGGACGACGACAATACTGGCGCTGTTTAGTACGCAATAGCGAACATCGCGCCGAACAAACCAATGATCCAGCTCCTTGTAGACATTACTGTCTTTCGTGGGAACGAGCGGAAGAAGAGAAAAGGGGAATGGAGATCGCGAAGGCTCTCAGTCCTGCCTTTCAGAATCAGCTTCTCGTCACTTTCCTAGTCAGGATCTTGAGGAGATTCCACAAGCTTCAGCGGCTCAGCGAGTGCGGTCAAAAGGATAATGTGATGGACCGCTGTTACCTTGAGCACACATCAGATGAGGGAGAGGATCGCTGCGATTGCCTGCATATGAGGTACGACGAGAAGGATGAATACGGGTACTTCGAGTAGTGCTACGATTGAGAACGTTGTAACTCAGCAGCCGCAGGTATCGTCTTGAACAGATATGGCAAGACTACGTGCACTACAGGCAGCGATAAAAGGGTGCGAGATAGAGACGAAGAAATCCCGTGTGGAAGACCTGATCTCGATGTGCGGCACAACCATCTAGACGCACGCGGACATATGGAGGATATCAGGCTATCGATTCGAAGGAAGTATTAAATGTATAGTATTCATGTCTCATGAGCTTGAGCGCTTCAAGCTGTTCCGGACCTAATTGTTCCATCGCTAAAGAAAAGGCCATATGTACGCGTTATGTTCGACCAACGTACGCCGACGCTACTCCACCCCCCACTGAACTCATCCTCTGTTCAAGCCTTCGAGACGCCGCCATGCTTGGGACCACCGAAGATGTCCTCGATGAATTCCCTCCAGATCTGCCTTGCCATACCCTCGACCTCCTCAACAGGCTTCTGCAGGTTGCTCGTAACCTTCGAGGCCATGCCTTGAAAATCAATGTGGTTACCCTCTGTCACGTCCGACATGGCCGAAGGCGCGTGAATGTGCGTGCTGTCGGCAGCGGCAGTGTAGATGGTCGGTTGCATGACCTGCTTGATCAGTCCAAAGCTCTCAATCTAAGCAGTGGGCAGAAGTACCGGCTGTTCAGCCTCAGCAGCGGCAGCCTGGGTCGCTGAAGACGTAGCAGTCGACAAGATGATGGGTACGTTGATCTTGGTGGGTGCAGTCTGCATGTTGGGGTCGAAGTCCGGAACATACATGAAGTCGATGGTGGAGGAGTCGTTGACTGCCTTCAAGCTTCGACTTGTGTTGAAGTGACGCATAGCATTGCCGGTCTCATGCTTCCAGGCTGCAGCCTCAGACGAGGGCAGCTTGGGGCTTAGCGAGCCGAAAGTGGGCTTGTCTGATGTGAGGAGCGACGAGGAGCTGGTGGCTCCGGTCATGTGCAGGTTGCGGGTCTGTGTCTTCAACAGACGAGGTCCTTGTGTCTTGAGAAGACGAGGTCCCTCAGTCTTCAGAAGGCGCGGTCCTCGGGTACGGAGAAGGCGGGGACCCTCAGTATGGATGCTGCGAGTCTGGGTCTTGAGCAGGCGAGGACCCTCGGCAGTGCGGAGGAGACGGGGACCTTCTGTCCTGAGAAGGCGAGGACCTTGAGTGTCAAGAAGGCGAGGGCCTTGTGTACGGAGAAGACGTGGGCCAGACATGGTGTGAAGTCGAGGTGATGTGATGTGGAGTTGTTGTTTTGGTGAAGTGTAGACAGAAGGATAGCAGTCGAGGCAGGAGCAGATAAGCTCAGCAATTAAGTAGCAATTGCGAGTTGTATGGGGTACCGGATGGCTGGAATGTCACCCACGTCAATAGGTGCGTTCGGCGCGACTCGGAAGCTTGTTATCAAGAAAGTTCGGAGGTGAGGAGGAATGACTGATCGAGCAGTGACGAGGGACCTCACGGTTTTGAATTCACCTCGGAAACCTAGCCATTCCGGGCTCCTTCCCTTATACAGGCGGTCAACACGCTGGCGTGAGATGGCAGTTGCGTTGCGCCTGCACTAAGCATTCATAAAACGCGCAAGTGTAATTGGCGATCAGCTTGGTGCTCTGGACACAGCATGCAAGTTGGTCGTCTCAACATGGATGCACATGGAGCTCGGGCCCGCTGAAACCGCCCGTCTACGCTGGAATCGGCTTACTGCTGTACCCGGGCCAATGGTAGATGATCCACTCTCTAGCTAAAGATGGCACCCCGCACTTTCAATGCTGCTTGAAGCACGAGTGATGCATTCAGAACACCTGAGTCTCACGCGCGCAGCAGTTGTCCTGACGAATCAATCTCGCATGACTGGGTCAGTGTCTGCTTGCACACACTCTTGCAAAGTTGCTGCTGGCTCAGCACAAAGTCGGTGTGCATGGCGATCAGACCTGTTGACTCTGCGCACGTACAATGCCACAAGGGATGCTCGCGAATCGCATCGTCTGGCCACACTGAAGTGAGATGTCGGGAATGCTTGTGCACTCCCGCGGGTGCTGTGCCTGGGGCACGGCTCTCCGCCCGAGCACCGTCTCGCTTCACTCAAACATGACGGATGCGGTCGCGATAAGGATTGCCGGTGATGGGACTCGATTAGCATAGATGGGTTGAGTCTTCATTGGTGGGGGTTGTCGTCATGAGGCTCGTTGAATGATAACAAGCAGCTCAACGTCAGTATCTGAGACTCTCTGATCAAGATCGGTATCTTGCACTCTGCCGCGGGAGTATGCAGAAATTGAGGCTGCTCCCGCGGGAGTGCCACGGCGAGATTCGCAAAGTCTTCTCGAAGAGGTTTGGCAGCTGGGCAGTGTCAGGAACGAGGCTGGGCGGTGTGGACGGACCACTGCAGGGCTTCGCTGCACAAAGGCAAAACTCAACCAAATTCGACCCAAAAATGACACAAGTGTACAAAAGACTGGAGAACCAGGGTTCTTGTTGTATGAGCGGACTCCAGCAGAATCCAACGACTTTTGCATTGATTTGTTGTTGGAAAACTTCGGAGTGTCGCCGAAGCCCGCAGGCCGCCTACGCGTAGATTTTTCCAACCACTACATATTTTTTCCGTTCCAAAATATCGTCATCAACAGCTCTCAAGGTGGTTGAGGGTATAGAACGGCCTGGTGGTCTAGTGGTATGATTGTCGCTTCGGGATGCTACGCCCAGATATCTTCGGTATCGTAGATTGTGACAGGCCCCGGGTTCGAATCCCGGCCAGGCCCGTGTTTTTGCTTCGCTGGTGCTCCTGGGCCTTTGGTTTAGGTTACGGGATGCGTCTGTGAGGCCTTTTAACTTTTTGCCCTTTCGGGACGATCGCGGGACTTTACGCCCCTACTAAGAATTTCCTAAGCGTCTCAGATGATACAGCACGCTCTTCTGTTGCTCTGGACATATTTTTGGGTTATTTGGGTTCGAAATACGTCGTTAGTAGTGAAGAACTCGTTTCTATTCACCGCAATCTTCACGAATGACTTCCGCAAGATCTTGCCGAAGAAAATTCACCAATTAACTCCAGGCGGCTCTGATAACTTAGACGGTTGTCGGATGTGCTTTTCGAGCCAATTCCGCCATTCTTTCAATCAGCTGGTGGTTGTGGACATGCGACCAATCAACACCGTACTTGGTACCAACAACACACCTGCAACACCAATTTCTGTGCCTAGATCTCGGAGGGCACGCTGTGAGCATCAAAAGAAGCCAGGGCGGATGAATTCGAACCATACGTACCGATGATGCGTATAACTGCGCACCACCGCGATGCATAGGTATTCCCAACATACACAACAAACTTGAAGCCATATGTAAGCTCCATACATTGTGACATGTGCATATCCTTGGCTTCATCCAATAGTTGGAGTATGGTTCGTTACAACGCGGTTATTGCTGATTGCAGTGGGTGTAGTCCAGAGGCGGTGAGAGTAACAACTTGGACTCGCTACTTCCCCTGTAAGCCTCATCACCTGTACACGGCGTCAGACGGCTCACCAGCCCATGTTGGTTATCTACGGGTATCTTAACTTCCCAATTCTATGCTCACCGTCCTCTCTTAGACTGTGGTTGAGAACTGGATGGCAAACTCCGCACATAGATGGCAAACTCCGCACATAGACCCACCAGACTCATCGAACTGACGCTGTCTTGGGTAGCCTTCAGTGTCAATTCAAATCACAGCGTAAGCTGCTCGTCTAGAGCTGCTACTATAGTACCTTTATCACTCGTGATCGCTGACGATAAGCTGCAGATAAACGTCAAAGCAAAATCCCGAGCCTCTGACAGGAGATGTGGCTCTTTCTTTTACTGTGGACTCTTTCAGAGCGAATGCCGAAGCTGTGAGTAGCATTCAGATATCTCGATCCCATGCAGCCAATTCTCACATGCTTGCGTTGGCAGTCCACAGTATTCCCCCTAAGACACCCAAAAAGCTCGCGCAAGGCCTCAAACTCCTTGCTACTGGCGAATCGGTAATTTTGAGGTTCTACGGAGAAAGCTTGTTAGTCTCACCAACGTATTTGGTACCCACTGATCTGAACACAAGGTTTGCGATCACTCCCCGCCACCCGCACACGTCAGCTTGAGGCTAGAATTTGCGTTCGTAGTCACATTTGAGATTCATAACTACCACGGACGGAACCTCCAATGCGTTAGTTTTGGTCCTGTAAGTGAGGTAGCGTAAAGTTGGTATTGCCCAAAACAGTACAACAGGTTGTCATTACTCAGGCACATCTGATCATGTGGCTAACTTTATACATTACTTTTGATCCTACGCAGCAGCGGCGGCGACAGCAACAGCCATAGCCCCTGTAGTCTCGCTGCGCCTGAACATCCTTTTGAAAACACTTTTCCTCTTCTCCTTCTTCGGCGTCGCTTCAACTTCTCCTTCTGTCTTCTTTGCCTGATTCTGGGTCGTAGCTTTCTCAACAACACCCTTCGCCAACTTCTCCCTAACAACTCTCTCCTGCGCCTTCTGCCAGAACTCCTGCTCTGCCTTGCGAGCATAGATTGCATTCTGATACCAGCCGTCCCACTCCTCGCCATCCCAACCACACCTGCTACTCCACTTCTCCATCAACTTCGCGCCAAAACCCTCTGACTCCGTTTTCGAGCAGCTCGGACACAGTGTGGTAAGGGGCAGGAGCTGCGTTGATGGGTTATGGGTGTTGTAGAACCCATAGTACTGTGTCGAGAACGGAGAGTATGGGGCGGAAGTGCACCCGCGCTTCGTGCAACTGCGTGGTGTATAGCGCCAATCGAAGTCGTCGTTCTGCAGTGCTTTGCCCTTCGTCAACGTATGGTTTGAGCCGAGAACTCGTTGGCTCTGTGCCTTCTGCAGCCGTGCACTCTCCACTTCTCGTGTTTCGCGGTACAATCGTAGAAAGATCTCGAAGTCTTGTGCCACGACGCCGAGGGTCTTGCGGCCCGCGCTTTGGCGCATGGTTTCGTATTCTTTCTTGCAGAGCAAGTTGGCTTCTTGCATTTCTTTACTGGCATGGCGCGGACAGTAGCCCTGGTGCTTTGAAAGGTGGTAGGGTTCTTGCGCTGCGTAATAGGTGGGGCCGGAATGTGCGGGTGTATAGTGTGCTGCGCACATCACTGCCATGCACGGGACATAGTTCTGCAGCGGGTCATACTTGTTTGAGACAAGAGTGGTGGCTACAGGTGGGGGCGGCGATGAAGACAGGTTGGAGACAACGGACTGGTAGGATGTAGTCCTTTGTGTTGGCGTTGGTGTTCGACTTGGGGGCACGAAGCCCGCAGGAAGAGGTATGCCAGACCATCGTGGATCGAGTCGTGGGTCAGTCTGTGAAGACGCTGCAGGGGGGGAGGACCTCTTGTCCACACGTTGCCGGAGCTGAGCCACTGGTCCTGACGGGCGGCCTTGTGAAGCCTGCGTTGGTGACGAAGCACGTGGTGAGCCTACTGGGTCTCCCGATGGACCGGCAGCGCTTGCTCGTTTCGAAGCTGGCGATAGTAGTGGAGGTCGCGTCAAGGTCGCAATCATTATCTTCTTTTGTCGGTACTGATGTGGCCCGAGATTTGGTGTGGATGCACCCCTCGAGAATCCTGGCCGGATTGGATGTAAATCCGAGGAGGGCGAGTTTAAGCTCACTGTGTTTCTGGGCTCTGTGAGTCTCCTCGGCATTGGTTCTGCATCCAAGAATCGAACGGTTGGTGGCGCTGATCTCCGGTTGAGGTTCTCTCCCACAGATCTTGAAGGTTTCAAGGTTGTTTTCATAGACGAACGCTTGGGAGCGCCTGCCGACATGTCGCTACTGGCAGACGATACATTAGGATGATCCATTGAAGACAGGCTAGAGCGGTGAGTAGATGTGGGCGTGGTGTTGTTGCTCGAGAGCGGTGGCCGTGATCCGGTGGTGGTTGCGCTGCGATGCATTGTGAAGTTGTTAAGAAGTTGACCTGAAGGTGCGCTGAGCTTAGTAGCGTTGTCAGTGAGGGCGACGCGGCTCTTTTGTGAAGGCTGTATATGAGAAACGGTCTGCATGATGGTTGGTCCTTTAACGTGAGACATAGCGCATCATATGTGCAGGGGTGTTGCTTGTGATCTACCTCTGTCACGCCAGCTCTAACAGGTGGACCGATGAATACTGGAGCAATATCAAGAGATGCTCAGTTAATTGGAGATATTGGTTCATGCGCCGGAGCAGATTGCAACAGCAAAGGGATGGCAATGACGAAGCTGAGAGGCATACGAAGTAAGGTGCTGGGTTGATAAGGCAGACATGGCTGCTTTAACACCTAAGACATTCTGTACTCGAGAGTCATAAACAGTAACAGGCGGAGACACGACATACGGGGGCTGGGTGACCCACCGTGGCCTCAGTGAGATCCATCAGCTATGCTCGTAAAGGTGCGCCGAATGGGCGCCTTGTTGGAAAAACTACACCGCATACCGGGACAAGCGAACTTCATTCGATAAAAAGACTAGTTCGTGTGGAAACGCAGCAGCACGTTCGGCGGACTGCGCCCGGAGATTGGTGACAATGTGTCTAAAGGTCACCGGTAACGAAGATTAGCATCGAAGATGGGGCTGCACGAGTCAGAAGCGAGGCGCCAAGTTGGACCCTGAAGAATTGCGCTCACCTGCAGTCGATGGTGAGCGTACAAGGGTGCAAGCCTCGGGAGACAGATGTGAGAAAGGCGGGGTCGATGCTGCTGATTCGGTTCATTCGTGCGACCACAGCATTGACACCTATTCAAAAGAACGCCCAGTTGCCTGGAAGAAGCAGGATGCTAATTGTACAGGGACAGTATCTACAAGCGCGACGCAATGTTTAGATCTTAGCCTTGGGCTGCTTGAGCATGGCTTCTGCGACAAGACGTCGCTGGATCTTACCAGTAGCCGTCTTTGGCATCACGTCTGTAAAGAAAACCTGAGATCGTCAGATATGTTACACGGCGCTGAAGCATGAGAGAAGGACGTACCTGTTTTGGCAGCTTGAACTTGGCAACACGGTCGGTCAGCCATGTCTTCAGTTCACCCGCGGACAGCTTCTGGCCTTCCTTGACGACGACTGCAAGACCGACGTCTTGGCCGTACATCTCGTCCTCCAGTGCGAAACTGACAGCCTCGGACACAGCAGGGTGTTGCGCAATCACGTTGTCGAGCTCAATTGGGCTGATCTTCTCTCCACCCTTGTTGATCAGCTCCTTGATGCGGCCTGTGATGATTACGTAGCCATCCTCATCCTGTTTGCCCTGGTCACCAGTGCGGAAGAAGCCCTCCTTGGTGAACGATGAGGCGTTTGCGGATGGGTTGTTCAAGTAGCCCTTGGTGACATTCTCACCACGGATGCAGATCTCAGCCTCCTTGCCTTGGGGAACCTCGTTACCCGCATCGTCAAGGATCTTGACCTCAACGCCTTGACCAAGCCCCACACTACCCGGCTTGCGCTGACCGGGCGGCAGGGGGTTACTCGTCATCTGGTGCGCGGCCTCGGTCATTGCGTAAGCCTCCAATACGGGAGCCTTGAAGTTCTTCTCAATCTCGTGGAAGGTCTTCGGCGAGAGGGGAGACGAGCACGACCGAATGAAGCGAATAGCGGGTACCGGGCTCGGGATTGGGCTTTTCAGCAAGATTTGATGGATGGTGGGCACAGCTGTGTACCAGTTGGCCTTGTGCGTCTGAAAGTCTCTCCAGAACTCGGATGCGGAGAACTTGGGTGGCACAACAACCGAACCACCAGAAGCCAACGGCGCAAGGAAG